TTTATTTTTTATAATTTTTTGTATTTCACATGGCACGCTTTGATTTATAAGAAAAAATTCAGAACAGTTGTTGACACTTTCGATACCAGAAGCAACAACAAAATACACGCAAATGTTGTTTTTGCTCTACTGATACTACCTGTTTAATGTGCCTTGGCTAGGCTTGACTCTATCAGAGAATCGGATGAATCTTATAACATGTCGCTGATCGACTTGAGATAGGCAGATATATGTCCAGAGCCGCATTAAAGAATGGGCGGGTGGGCCGCGAACCAGGAGTCCCCACATCTAGGGGCGCCCACAAATCAGTTACAGCCTAATAAAATTAATAAAAATCGATACTCTATTTTACAAGTAGTCATGATAATGAAGTTACTCTATGAATGAAGTTATACTACATACCGATGGCTGAGTGGAAGATCGACCTATCTCGGCAGCCAGTTCGAAAACGCTCTGGCTGCATTTCTTTATTCATTCTGAATGTTTGGAATAAACTATTTTGTTTATTTATTCTTTAGAACGTTCCTGATGATATGTTGACGTATATTTCAAACGCATTCTGTTTATTCCGGCTGTGAAATGGGATTATCCGGAATGTATAAAGAAACACAGCCTCTATCTCAAAAAAACTTTTCAAGAACGCCCTATTTCAGAATTTAATTGAAAAACACCCTATCTCAAAATTCGGTTCAAAAACGCCCTATATCACTTCAAAATGTATTGAAAATATGCTGATATAGGGTGTTTTGGAATCGGCAGCTGAGATAAGGCGTTCTTGAAAAGTTTTTTGAGATAGAGCGTTTTCGAACTGGCTGCCGAGATAGGTCGATCTTCCACTCAGCCATCGATACATAGTTGGAAACTGATCCTTTGAGTGAAACTTTGGAATCCATATTCAACGACTTCAAATCAATAGGGGTATTCTCGAAATTTTGCAAAGCCGTTGCACGAAGCACGGATTGCATGGGTTGCAAATATACAACAATAAAACAACATTTCCTGTAGCATATTTTGCCAAAAAGCATAGCAAGATAAATGCGACCCTGTGCTAGCTGTTTTGTTGTTGTTGTGATTGGCTACATATGTATTGCTCTTATTTCTCTTACTTCGCTCATTCCATTTTTTTTAATTCTTGTTATTGTATTTGATACTGAAATTCGCTGCTTGCACCAAGGCATGCTAAAAATTTGCAATGGGGTGCTCTCGTACTCTTGCAAATTTGGAATAGTATTTTTGCATTTCGTGCAACGTGCAAGACTTCGAGAATACCCCTAATATTTCTCCGAACGAGGCGAATAAATGCGATTGTTTGCAAACTTCTTCTTCTTAAAATGTTGAGCTCTCACTCCCTAAGATTTTTCAAAATGGAAAAAATAGGGCCGGCATTCTTTTGTTAAAAAAAAAATCCTCAGAGCTACCTCAAAGCCCATGAAGTTTTCCATGTTTTTTTAGAATTCTTGGAAATCAATATTTTTCGACTGGAAAATTCTGTTTCACTTCATGAGGAGACCAATAACACGATTCAACAAAATTTTATCGTATTTTGTCTCAAAAACGGGGCCGACCTCATTTTACAGTTTTTTTTATGCTGATTTCAAGTGGATTTATAAAAACTTTTTAGCACGTCCAGTTTTTGAGAAAATAACTTTTGAAGTGTCGAAAAACGAAGTCGGTCCCGTTTTTGACCAAATTTTATTGAGCTGTGTAATAATACCCAATTGTTTATCTTACCATTTTTTAATCGTAACGATTTTTTATGGATCCCCTTTTGCATTTTTAGGGGGTTAATTGAAAATGGAACCCGGTATCTCCCAATTAAAAATAATTAAAATACACACGTCGCATATGTTCCTCTGACACAGTTGCACGCAGCGTATCGCTGCAAACATTTTAAACTAAAATTACAGATTGGTATCTATCATATAAGCTTTGCAAAGTCTACCTTGCAGACGAGATTTTATAATTCCATAATTTTAAATGCCCTAAGCGCCGTAACTCCCTTATAAATGAATTTACCGCTATGGTCAAATGAGAGTAGAAATAACAAATTTCTAAATATTATAACATTTTTAATTTAATTTGCATATAAAAAGTGGGATGAAACCCGCGGGTATAAGCTAGTTAATAATAAAATTTATAAGGTATAAGAAGTACATACGAAATTCCTTGTGGCTACAAATATTTAAAATTTTATAAAAAAAGACTAACTACTTTTTCAAAGAAAAGTTCATCTACCTAATTTGTATAAAAGAGCACAATAAACTTATTGCAAAATAATGCTAAGTACTTGTCTAACAGCACGCGGTATAAAATCTTTAATTTCATCATATGTAGTTACATATGTACATATTTCAAACAATTGTTTCGTAAAAAAGTATTTTGCTATAAAAAAGATAAAAGTTGCGTAGCTAATAAAAACAATTGACAGCTTTAATTCAATTATAATGCTCCAGGAAACTGACTTTCGAAAGCTTACTTTAGCTAAGTAACACAATACGAAAATTTTTAAACTAAACAAACTTGTACGCTTAAATTAAATCAACAATTTTTTTATATGCATATAGCAACAATGGGAATGATAAATTTTAAGTGTGTGGTGGTAAATTTCCACTCCAAAATGTTTTTAATATGAACTATAAAAATATTAAAATTTATGAACAGTCTAAGCAAGAAAAAAATCAAAACAAAGTAACAGCAATTGTTGCAAAACTCTACGCAACTATGGAATGTATGCGGTTGTGTTGTCGTCTTTTTCTTTATAATTTTTAAACATATACATATACATATGTTTATAATTAGTTGAAACTAAAAGCCACTATTGACATTTTTTTCATAATTTTTAGAGCCGAGCTGTAGTCACTTTAAATTAAATTTACGCATAGAAAATGTCTTTCATGATTTTCATTAGCTTATTATTTAACATTAAAATTTATAAATGGGTATTCAATTTCTAATAAAAAGTTATGTATGTGTGTACCTTTAACGGTTTTGTAACATTTAAAGTTTCAATAGAGATCTTTGATTAAGAGCTTTTACTAAGCATCAAAATTTATCATCTGCATATATATATATGTATGTATATATAACAAAATGTTTGCCATCATACAACTTTTTTTTTGTTAAGTACATTATTAAAATATTGTATGATATATAATTCATATGATTGCTTTAAAATAGTTAGGTATGTATTTGCAAATATGCTTGTATGTATGGTTCGTAGGTTTTCCTTGTTTGACGGATATGCAAAATTTGTTTCTAGTATTTAAAGTTCGTTAGTTTGTAACTCGTTTGACTGTAGTTAGCGCAAGCTTGTGTAGGTGATTTTAAACAACATTATATAAGTAGCTGGTACATGAATATATCTATACATATTCATGTAGGCGAGTGTTTAATACATCCTCGAAGAGTTTTACGTTTAGTATTTTCCATACGTTTAGTATTTTTCAACACTCATTTAGCACATTCATTGTCAATCGCAGCGTGTATTTGCCCAACGCAAATACTACTTAAGAACAGAAGCCGACTTCATGCATCACTTAACTTCTCAAAAGAGCCCTCGAAAAAGCCCTCTCTCTCCTCTCTTTCTATTTCGCATTTTTAAATTAAACCCAAACACCATGTGGATTTTTGCTGGTGGGTACTGCATTCTCCAGCTGTCTGGGTGAACCGATTATACGCCGACTACTCCCGGGTTTGTGGGAACCTTTTGGAAGGAAGAAAAAGTATACATTCAAGAAATTACTTTTCAAAGCAAAACCAACAAGTGACTGCATACCTTCTAAAAAGTGCTTAATTTCCTCGGAGGTGTTGACGGTGAGGCTTTGCAAATTAACCTCTTTCATTTCGTTCACCAATTGCTCTACCTAAAATATAATAAACAGTTTAGTTTAGACATTTTGCCTGCGCTATTTTTATAGCGCACCTGTCGCTTCTTCTCGGTTATTGCATTTTCAATAAGTAAAATTTCTTTTTTCAAATTCTCTGCTGTTTTGTTAGACGTATCTGTGTTGTGTATTGCCTGATCGATTTCGCTTTGTATGCGCTCCATTTCCATGAGAAAGTCACGCTCAACATTTTGACTGGAAGCAAATAAAAAAAAAAAATTATTATTATCTTGTAATTCAAAAATCAAATCAAATACCTAATAATTAACAATTCATTACATCATAAAAATGTTTATTTTGCAAACTTACCGATTCGTTTTTTGCTTTGTGACATTACTGCGCTGTTCTACCTCAATATCGTTCATTAACAATCGAATTTTATTCTTGCATTGCAGTAATTCAGTTTCACAATTAGCCAATTTAGAGCGCAGCAAAGCAATTTCAGATTTTAAAGTTTTCTCTTGTTGTTTAACGAGCTCATTCTCTTCCTCTACATACTGTAGTGTTTGCAGCTGTACGTGAAATTTTAAAAGCAACATTATATCAGGCTACATAAAATGCATGTGTTATATTATATACTCACCTGTTCACTACCCTGTCGAAAAATTTGATCGGCTTTGGTGATTTCACGAGAAATCGCTTCGAGCTCTTGCGCCTGATCGCGTTCTTTATTTTCCAAATAAACTATCTCAGCATCGTACTGCAAAAGAGTCGAAAAATATATAAAATAAATACTTATAAAGTTCGAAAAAAACAAGATTTAAAAATAAATATAGTACATACTTTGGTCAATTCCAGCTGTTGTGCTGAAATTTTTTCGCGTTGAAATTTAATCAATTGCATTAAATCATTGTATTGCGTTGCCTGGAATATGCTTTCGCTTTCCTCCATGCTGCCGACACTGCCACTACCACCGCCGCCGCCGCCGCCGCTGCAAACGCCAACACCGGTGCTACCAGTGCCACCCAAGTGCTGAAACTCCACATCGTAATCGTTAGAGTTGTTGTAATCTTGCA